CTGTGTGAAATGGGTGCGTCCATTCCTCCTCTATTTAAAAGAGTAACAGAATGTATCGCTCATCTGTTTAGAGGACTTCAGTATTAAGATACGTGGGTACGTGTTCCTGTCTAGTTCCATTGGAATAAGTGTGATCGTGTTAATCAAGGCTAAATACAATTAGACCCCATGGTATCAATGTAATCATAAATGCCTCTCCACTCTTACCAACTAGGTGCGGCATATCCTCCGATCAAGAGATGGAGATTGCCGTCTCAGTAGGTACGAGGGTGAGCCTACGAACCCAGGTATGGTGACCGTAAGTACCGCTTTGGCCTCTCACATTCAGATGAGCCTGTTTCTCTGATGAACTCATGCCAATACTTAGATCTCCAGACTTATTTACTGCATTAAGAACACATAAGATAATAAATCAAATAGGTCACGTCAGTTGTCAATCTTTATACCAAGTGCAGGTACCAACATAATTTTTTTGTTATTGGGTGGACAAAAGACACTAGCTGCAACGCAGCGATTCATAGATTCAATCGTTTCCAACCGATCCGTGATTTGGCGTCAATCCTTTGGATAAAAAGATCACTATAGTTCCATTATTATTAATTAAAAACATCATTTAATTTGACAACAGTTCTGTGTGCGTTTCCCACTGTCTGAAGTTCAGTAAAAATAAGGACTCAATTGTGGTGGCCACATTCTTCATGATGCAGTTACTTCTCAACCAATGAACACCAGATTCGTTTCATACTTAGAGTTTCGCCTTGAAGGATCAATTTTTGATTGGCTCTTGCATTTCGGTTAAAGCGAAAGACTGAGTATGAACCATGGAACGAAGGGTACAACAAGAAATAAACGGAATGAGAGAGGGAATGTAAGTAGGAAATGGTAGGACAGCAACAAGAGCAAAATAAACAAAACCTCGAAAATAAGAAGGCAAATTTTTATCCATACGAATTTCTACTTCAATCTTAAAATACAATCTCCTCAAAACCCTTGTTCTTTTAGTGCATTTTCACGATATTCTTAGTTTTTGCTGCCATGTGTGCCATCCTATAAAGCCCTATATGAAAGTAAATAAATTCGCGGGCAATTTTTAAACGTTACTTTGCTGCAATTGGTCCGAGTTCTCAGGATCTGGGAAGTTGCAAGAATCAGAATCAGCATTGGTGCGCTCTCTCGCGGCTAACGCCGAAACCCTAGTTTACACTTTCACTTTTCTCCACCAGAAGCGCTCTACTTTCGTTCCGGTTCTCCGATTCGCTCTGAACCAAAGATTACTAAGGACTCCAGATACCGCATTGGAATAAAATACGGCCTCCTAGTCCCCTGCAGCTCCAGGGTAGGCAACCTGTTTAGCGGTATGTCATACTTCGAGCTAACGAATAGACTGTTTGCCGTGTGTTTGACCGGTTTCGCCGTACTGTGCTAAGTTTGGTTAAAGATTCAAAGTATTAAATTTTCTTATGTTTTAAATCGTTAAAAAATGCCGAACCCCCCCCCCCCCCAAAAAAAAAAAAAAAAAATTAATGCAAATATCTCTGCTCAATTTTCTGAGTCCATTTACCATGACTAGTGACTAAAATGAACAATTTTCGCAATTTGCCGGTCATAATCTGCACATTTGAAGTGCAATTTCCCATGCACTTCCATTACAGATGGGCTAAAGTATGGCATACCGCTACACAGGTTGCCTACNAGGGATTTAATTTCTGACTTATACAAAGTGTGAACCAAACCGGCATTTCTAACATGGTGGCTTATGGAGAAATCAACAACACTGCTTGTGTTTTTTCGACGCTTCGGTTTTGCTAGCTCTTCGTACAGCCAGACCTTTAGGTACTTATTCACCCAAAAACGACCTGATATAAACTACAAAAACCCTCAAAAACATTTTTCGGGCAAAAAATCCGGTCGAGGAAATTGACGTGTCACTTCCTTTTAATCAAGTATAAGATAGGCAAAAGCCTTTGATGAATTCCCAAGGTCCACTAAGACTAATAATCATCAAAAAGTTCCAAAAACTTACTCTAACGGAAAAAAATAAAATGAAAAATAAATCCCTTGCCAAAAATAAATAAAAAACCGATTTTGAGATAAATCCCTCGGATGAACTTGAAATCACAAAATCGGTCGAGGATGTCAATTGAAACTTTCCCCCCTTTAATTATGAGCTCCGCAACAAGCGTGACTCGCTTGTACCTTTTCATACACGAGCCGCACGAATTCATCTCTTCTTCTCTCCTCTCCTTCCGCCCATGGACAGAGGTCCAAAATTTTTCGGATTTACTGAATACTGACGCGACCGGCTGCGGCTCGGTGCGTAAACATGGGTGGATTACTAAGATTACACATTAGTCAGAGAGAAACACGTACAACCTGTCGACTTAAGTGGGGCTCATTCCGTGAAGGAACTCAACTCCTCCACTATAACAATTCCACTAATAATTTTGCGATTCAGAAATCCCCTCACTTGTCCGGACCTAACGTGTCTGTCGAAATGTCATCCAATGGTACAGATGTATTTTATACTTAACTGATAGAGTATAAGAACAATTATTACTTACAACCTACCTACCGTCCAAAGCAAATGGTAGGCTCCCTTAAAAAAAAATCCATGTTTCAGATGAATCATGTTTCGAAAAAGTCTAACATGTGGTTATGGAAAAATGGGTCGACTGGTGAAACTGCAACCGACTTGAAGCCGACATCAGGGATGATAAGAAGGCACCGATTCACTGAGAGCATCGAGCCGCAGCCGGTCGCGTCAGTAAATTCGAAAAATTTTGGACCTCTGTCCATGGGCGGAAGGAGAGGAGACAAGAAGAGATGAATTCGTGCGGCTCGTGTATGAAAAGGTACAAGCTAGTCACGCTTGTTGCGGAGCTCATAATTAAAGGGGGGAAAGTTTCAATTGACATCCTCGACCGATTTTGTGATTTCAAGTTCATTCGAGGGATTTATCTCAAAATCGGTTTTTTATTTATTTTTGGCAAGGGATTTATTTTTCATTTTATTTTTTTCCTTTCGAGTAAGTTTTTGGAACTTTTTGATGATTATTAGTCTTAGTGGACCTTGGGAATTCATCAAAGGTTTTTGCCTATCTTGTACTTGATTAAAAGGAAGTGACACGTCAATTTCCTCGACCGGATTTTTTGCCCGAAAAATGTTTTTGAGGGTTTTTGTAGTTTAGATATTTACCGAAAACAACAAGCATCTCCGGGTCATCGGTGCATCGATGAGTGAGGCAGTCGCTGCGTGGACGAATCAGAGTGGCCCTCGATCGGCCGAAGTTGCGCGAGCGGCCCGTTTGAATCTGAGTGGAGTAACGATTTTCGGCATTACGCTTTCATTTCCTCGATTTTTAGACAATGTCACAAATGAATTAGTTAGTTTTCTAAAGTAAAATTTTATCCTCTTTCGAAACGGTTCTTATGAAATTTTGCGTCAGATCAACCCTGAAAAAGATATCGGCGAGAAATCATCGCGCGGCAAGCGTTCTCCCATAAGAACGCGTGTTAAACCGCGGCCGAGTTTCATCTACTAGTGTTACGTCACAGAATCATAGTTACGGCCTCTCCATTCTCGTAGGCAACGGTTTGACCAATAACCTGCATCATTTTACGTGACGTCATGCGAAGCATCCATTATCTGTCGTCACCCCTTCTACCGCACCCAGCTATAGGTAGGGTGGGACATCCCCTCCATTTTGGCCTCAACTTGAGAGCTTGGATGACCAATTTGCAGCGCGGAATTTTGAATTCTTTTTGGAAGCAAGTTTTGGCGCTTATGGAATTTCTTTTGAAAGTTCAATCCGATAATGTTAAGAAAGCGCTGTAAAAAATAAATTTGATGCGACTGGTCGGAAAATAATGAATAATGTATGTTCTCTTGCCACTTGTCTCAGATGACCCTTCGCAGCGCGGAATTTTGAGTTCTTTTTCCGAGCATAGTTTGGCTCTTGAAGAAATTTTTGAAAGTTCGATGAAACAAAGATATAAAAAATGGAGAGAATGCAACTGGTCTCAAAATAATGAAAAATCCATTTTCTCTTGGCACTTATCTCGGATGACCATTGACCATCCGCATCGCGGAATGGTGAGTTCTACTTCCGAGGATATTTTTCCGCGTATGAAAATTTTACAAAGTTACATCCGAGAAAGACAAACTAATGATTGATTGATGACACCAAGGTGGAGGAAACCATGCTGTGCACTACCGCGATGGATCACGTTATAAGCCTTGATTTTCAATGAACGATATCTCCGTTGATTTAGACATAGAAACTTGGCGTTTGAAGAGATCTGATTATTTTTTGCTAATCGATGAGCTTATACCATCAAAACGCGATTTGGCGATCAACGCAATAGACCTTTGGCAGGGAAATTCAGTTTTTTCTTCCGAAATAAATCCACTTGAAAAGTATAGATGATGATCGAATCTGCTCGTGCGAAAACGTCCAATGTCCAATACAGTGTTTCAGAATTTGAAGGACGATTTTTTTGTAACTTACAGACACAAGATGGTTTCAGATGTTAGGAATGCGGAACAATTTTATAAAAAAAAAATCCCTTGAATATAATTAGACGCTCACTAAAGAGATCGATCTGTGTCGAGGGACAAAAGAAACCACTGCAATCATGAAACCCTGTATTCGACAACGGACGTTTTGGCACGAGCCGATTCAATTAAATCAGTGAGGACGAAAACACACCAACTCGGTAACTCGAAAATGCTCAACTTCCATGAAAGACATTTAATTTATATAAAGGTCGTTTATGTTAGCGCATTCGTTCCAACTTGGACCTTTAAAGTGTCGACGCAAGTACTTGTCTTTCGGCAGCAAAAATATTTGTCTCAAAGTTACTTCTTCACCTACCGTGCGGTTTCGTGTGTGTCTTGATTATTTTCATTTTTCCAAGTTGGTGTGTTTACGTTCTCACTGATTCAATTGTACTGTTGAGTGATCAGAAATTATGTCAATCCAGAAAACTAAAATAACGTACCTTATGAGAGGCCCACAGCTATCAATTCTGAAACAGAAGATGGAAAGATCATTGTTATAATTGTTATTGTTAATATTACGCTTCTCATTGAAATGGAGAGAAATACAAATGAGGTAAGTTAAGTGGCACTGACACCCAACTAGCACGCTCATTTACTAAATACTGACTACATTTTGCAAGTAGGAACTATAGTTTCGAGCTTACTTTAAAAACAACGTATGAGCCATTCGTTTCCATATGCATTTATGTGATTTTACAAACGGGTCAGATATTGCAGTTCCTAATTGCAAAATGTTGTCCAATTCCTCATAAAAATTGCACATCAAATACTGAGGACACACTAAACATTGAAAAAAAAAACCGTCATAACGGTCCATTTTCACACTATCAGAGGGTCTATTTCTTGTATTTTCTCGGCATTCTTAGCCCCATCGTTGATATATTCCCAGAACTTCCTGCTGAGGGATGTAGCGAGAAGGCTTTTGCAACTGTTGTGGTATCTCGCACGAATGAAGGCTCCTTGTTCACCCGCAGAACGCTCGCATCGTCGCGTTCGTTGCGTCGCATCTGAAGAGCATTAAGTGCCGCACTAAGTACGTGTTTTCAAGAGACTTAGATTTAAATAAAAAAATGTCTTTTTCAAATTGAATCAGTGAGAACGAAAACACACCAACTCCGTAACTCGAAAATACTATTTTTATGAAAGGCAGTCATGTTTCATAAAGGTCATTGAAGTTAGCGCATCTGATCCAGCCTATACCTTCAAAATGTATTGAAGGGCTTGTTCTTCGGCACAAAAAATATTTTTCTTAGGCCACTAGGACGTATTTCTATCAAACAGTACAGTATGCAGGTGAGAAATATGGGGTGTGCTCTAGAAAGCTGCATAAAAAGCAATGTAAAAGTGGGCGTGATTCCTTTTGAAGAATTGGAAAAGCGGGATTTTACATTCTACCAATAGGAACTAAGCGCCAACTGATCGTTAATGCGGGATATATGAGCCGCGGGCATGGCACGAGAGGGCTGTTAACAGGGCTCATGAGTTAAAGTGGCCCACGAGCGACAACGGCGACGGTTTCTTTGCCGCTGACGTCACTGGCGCCTCATTGTTCTCATGCACTCTTACGGCTCGAGAACTAACGAGCACACCCCATTTTTCTCACCTCCACATAGGTCTGTTTGGTAGAAATACGTCCAATTTTCCCATCCACTGTTTAGTTTTGTGTGTGTCTTGATTATTTTCATTTTTTCGAGTTGGTGTGTTTTCGTTCTCACTGATTCAATCAGAGTGTGACGTGATTGTGACCCAACATGAGTCAAACCACGGGATCAGTTACGTGTTTTTGTGCTTATACACCCCACTTGCTGCTAAGGATAATAGAGGGTTAGTTTCAGCTGCGACAGCAAATTCATTCAGAAGCAGATAAATATTAGACCATACTAGTAAGGGAGAAAAGGTAAAAGAAGAATTTATAGGTACATACCAGCAGAGGGTTATCCAATTGCCCGACGCCAAGCTGAAAGCACTCACACGCGCAGCACTATCACAGAGACTAAACTGAAAAACTTGGCCATAAAAATATTTAAAAAAATATTAAATATTGGTTGAAGATACATTTTCGTCTACGCTCATTTAAATTCTGCCCATGTTAGATAAAGTCCGAAATGTATAGGTCATAATAAACAATAAAATAAAAATGGCGGAGAGATAGTGATACGCAATTTCAAAGAGTCGACTGGATTCATTCCAGAAATAAATAAATTATAGTGTAAGGGTTTTTTACCGTAGTTCCATGCTCATTTCAAAGCTTACAAATACAGGGCCTGAGCATGTTCACTATCATAACTTTCCGAAAGAGTTTCGAGAAAATATCTGCTGGAGGTTCGGTAGTCTCATCGCACATGATATGATGTCCAATCAATGTTATTATTTATGTTAAATCTGGACGCAGCTGAGAGAGATGGTCCAGAGGATGTTGTAGAAAATCAAAATTTAATTTAAAATGTAACTAGAGGTTAAACCGCTGAGAAATCGGCTATTGAGAAAACTAGATCTCTTGCGCTCTTTCCCTGGAGAGCAACTTTTTAAATGGTCAGGTGGCTCGGTAACTAAAACTGCTTTTATAATTTGAAATCAGTTTGAGAGGGCAAAACTTAGAACAATAATTTTGACTTAAATTTTAAAAGTAATTGCTAGTTAACAGAAATGCAAAATAAAATTTTATGATACGTATTTGTCATTAAATTTGAACGGTTTTATAGGAGCTGCGAATGCAATCCACAACAATCATACGAGAGTTCGACAAGCAAATTCGACTCACAATGGACCACTAGACAAGGTACGAATTTCAGCATTCTGATACATGTTCCTTCACCAAAATTTCACGTAAAACACGATGCGCACAACGAATATTACCGAAATCAGCTCCTTCCAAAGATATTAATGATTCTCGGTGCGTGAATTCAAACCACCCGCTCATGAAAACTCAATGCTCTACGTGATTCACATCGCTTGCTAAACGTTATCATGAACGTCTCTGCGATAAAAAAATCTGGCAACCTCAATCTTGACACTTTGGCTCAGCTATAGCAAATTACTTATAGTTTGAAAAACACATGGTGGGAAATGAACATTGATCGATTGAGAAGATCGCTGAAACCGTTGTAGTGCGCGATTTGACTCACGTAGAGTTTTGAGTTTCTTGAGAGCGGGCAGTTCAAATTCCTCGTAACCAATGTGAAATAAAAACGTTAATATCTTCGTTAGGAGTTGGTTTCCGTAATTTTCGTTGTGTGAATCGTTTTCTACGTGAAATTCTGGTTAAGAAACATGTATCAGATTGCTTAAATTCGTACCTTGTCTAGTGGTCCATTATGTTTTCTTTTTCAAAATTCAGAAATTAAGATTTTACTTATTTTATGCGTTTTCTGGCTGGGTCACTGGAGAAAAGTAAAAACTCTCCCAACTCAACTCATATACATATTGCACCTTGTAAGTTATAAAAGTTTCGGCTCACAATCAGCTCATTATACTCTGCATGTTGGTAAAAACATATTTTGACGGTGAATGGTTCACGATTCATCAAGTTCATATATTATCGAGTTATACAGTTTCCATGCTCTGTACCTACTCTTTTCTTTGGTTACCACCATAAGTAAAATAAAAGAAAAATGCAATAGTGTATTTTTTTCGGAAAGTACACTAAAAGTCCCATGTCCTCATCTCATTATTCAATCTACCGATGTAGATACGAGTCTGGAGGTAGAATCAAAGGCAATCCTGCCACAGGGCGGTACATAATCTGTTTTAGAACTCATCTTTGTTCTCCAATTCCTCTCATCACGGGGAAAAAGCTAAAATACCGTTAACTCAAATCACGAATCTGTTAAGTGCTTTTACCTCAACATAAAATTAATCGAAACTCTGATGAAGCACATTAGTTTGTAAATGGCAAACAATATGCCATCATTTTAGGTACACAACCTAGCCTCGTGTATCCATAATTTTCTCCAATTTCCCGATTTAACAGTAAGGTAAAAACCATTGCATTTGATTCAACTCAAAAATATGAATGCGGATGTGTTCCGATAGAGCAAACAATTCAATCACTGACATGTACAGGTTTAGTCTTTGAAATCATAACCCCCCCTCCGATTTCTCGAGGAGGTAAAAAAATTAAAAAATTAATCCGCCCTGAGCTCATAAATCTGAATGCGGCAAAAGAAACGAGTTGTGAATGAAAATTGAATGGGAGGCTATTCTTCCGTCACAATGAAAAACATGTTCTGTCTGTGGTATCATCACTGTCATCAACCTTCGCTTATTACAGAATAAAGATCAACTAAAGCTTTCGACTCGACTCAAAACCTGCAAGGAGCTTTCGACTCGACTCGCATCTGCAAGATGCTTTTGGCTCAATTCATAAAAATCTACAAACTGAAATGGAGATAAATTCAGAAAAGCGTACAATTCCATCCTTAACGTACAGGTTCTACCCTGTGAACCCACTCTTCTCAGATTTCTCTAATCAGTAAATAATGAGAAATTACTTTCGCCTAAACTCATAAAATTATACATACGTTGATAAGAGCAATTTTCCTGTAAGTAGCGTACGACTCAGCAACTAAGTTTCTACCTATTTTATGAATTCTCCTCCAATTCCTCTCATCTATTATGAAAAAAATATTAAAATTATACATTTTATTCAACCCATAATTTAAAAGTGGATGTGTTCTGATAGAGAATCGCAAATTCTATTAACATGCAGTTTCGTCAGGTGCACTAACAATTTCTTCCAATTTCTCTCATAACAAAAAAAAATTTGGAAAAATCACTTAAAACTCGACTGACGCGTTGACATGTTCATAATACTTTACACGGTGCATCACAATTCATGTATATGATGAGATAGCAAGTACTCCTAAAAATTTAATCATAGGAAAGGGAGCTGCTTTTAAAAATACTATTGACTCATATCATATATTTACCAAGAACTTTTGACTCAACTCATTCTGCAAAAAACTTTTGACTCAACTCATAAAGCATAGAACTTTTACTCTCCTGATATACGTACCTCCGTACTACAAACGGATACGCGTATAGCGACAAGTACAAAATACTTGCTCCCGTTATTACAAGAATGTAGAATTTTCCTCTCGCAAGGCATCATTCTTCTTTCATTTTCTTATGAGATAAAAAAAATTCGGAAAATATTTCTCACTGAGCTCATAAGTACATTTGCTCGCTGACGGGCACGTGTTTGGATTGAGGAAAAGCCGCAATTCTGTCTCCAGGCTTCATTACTGTTTTACTCTTAAAAAAATATAAATTTCTCTTTAAATCTTCATTGATAAATTATAAAAATTGATTTGGACTCGACTCAACTCATAACCAGCAGGCTGATGGACACATCTCAGTTTTAATTACAGTCAAAATTACTCTGTATCTTGGTGGCTACATTCACTTACTCAAATGAAAACCAAAGAATTAGATTTTCCGATTTTCTTCCGTGAAAGATTAGAAATAAGAATAATTATGGATGGCCACATCTTTAAAATCAAAAGAATACTCAATACAAGGACGTTCCGTCTCATTCTTAAGTCCGTTCGAAAATTCGAAAGAATTAGGGAGAAAATGGGGATAACACAGGATTCTAATGGCCAAATGAGTGTCAAACGGAGTCCGAAGTGAAAAGGATTTCAAGTAAAGATATGACATTTTCACCAGGAAGGAGAAGAAAACTGAGGAGGATGGAGGAATGCATTAGAAGACCGAGTGATTTAGATGCGAGAGAGAGACATTGAAAGGGTAGTTGTTAGAATACAGAAATAATGAACATGTCACATTGAACTAAGATAGACGAGAGATTGAAAAGGAGAGGAGGGGGGGGTGAAAGGAGAGACAAATTCTTACAAAAGTATACTGGAAAAAAAAAAACACATTGGATCTAGAGTCCAGACTCTTAAAAACATCGACAAGAAAAAAAACTCTTGATTCAATCAGAATCTAGTTTAAATCAAGAACTAAACCTCTTAATTTAAGCGAATTTCGTTTTGATTCAAGCAAAAATCCGATTGAATCAGGAGTATTTTTTCTTGTCGATGTTTTCAAGAGTCTGGACTCTAGATCCAATGTGTTTTTTTTTTCCAGGGTACGAGAATAATAAATAATTGGAAGAAAAATGAGAAAAAAAGAGACTGGAAGAAAATAATTATACAATTTAGAATGAGAATCTTGAAAAAGGAAAATAAAATGATTTGACATCGTGAGTGTGTGTACGCGGGGGAGGAAGATGATCTCAGTTTCTTTGAGCCTCCCCACCCTACAAGGAAAAAAAAGGATCGTTGACCTTACAATGCTCATAGTAAATTCCAGGTTCAACCAAATTTTCTATTCTTGGTTACACTCTTACCTTTCTCTTAACAATTCTCTAGATCTCCGTAACAGTGCTGCATTGGGAGCCTGGAATTCAATTTGAGCGTTGTAAGAACAATGAACCATGTTTTTCCGTGCAAGGATAATCCATCCTTAATCTCCCCTTTAGAAAAGAATGAAAAAGAGAAAAGAGAGAGGAATAAGAATGGGGAATAAGAGAGAGGAATAAGAGAGAAAGAAGGCGGGACAGGAGAGACACTACTACTACTACTACTACTACTACTACTACTACTACTACTACTACTACTACTACTACTACTACTACTACTACTACTACTACTACTACTACTACTACTACTACTACTACTACCACTACCACTACCATTACCATTACCACAACTACTACCGAGAGAGAGAAATAAGGGAGAAATAAGACAGAAAAAAGGCGGGACATTGCAGGAGAGACAAAGGGAGGAAAGAGAGAAATGAGAGACAAAGGGAGGAAAGAAAGAAAAAAGAGAGGAAAAAGAAAATAAATGAAAATACTACTACTACCACTACTACCACTACCACTACCACTACCACTACCACTACTACTACTACTACTACTACTACTACTACTACTACTACTACTACTCTACCACCACCACTACCACTCTACTTACCTTCCTGGAAAAAAAGAGAAAATGAA